TAAGGCCTGGACAAGCAGTAAATGAATTTTGTTTCGTTTTGGAAAGCTTAGCTAATAAGGCCTACCCGGATGTGCCCGCAGAGGCAACTTCATTGCAAAAAGCCGAAATTTTGTGCAGACAGCTGGCTAACTGGAATGGGAGTTACTGCCTAACTGAGGCACTAGAGACTAGCTCTTGCGAACAAGCTTATGAAAAAGTGAAAGAGGCAGCACTACGTTTGGAAAGAAGTTTGAAAACAGCTGAGGAGTGTCGAATAGCAACTAGGGCACGGTCTACTCACAATTTCAACCAGAAGCATGCCGTCGGGGATAAGCAACCTGGACCGTTTGTCGGGAAGGGTACGGAAGAAATTGCGAAAATAGGCACAGATAAGCCACGCAAACTTCCATTGAGCAACAAACCAGAAACTACCCCGCCGTACCAGCAGAGAAGAAGAGACCATGGCCCACCAAGGTGCTATAAGTGTGGCAAAAGGGGACACATGGCTAAGGACTGCAGCGTTTCATCATCCAGGCAACAACATAGCTCTGTTCTAAGAGAGGATCCTAACCAAACGTCTAGTGTGGCATATGCCTCTTTGATAGATAAATGGATGTGTACAATATGGGAAGAGTCGGCATCGAGTGTGAGCGAATGGTTTGGCCAAAAACCGCTGGTCGATATAATGATTTGCGGAATAAAAGCAACCCTAATAACGTCCGTGAATCAAAAAAATCAACTATAAAAAATTTTCTGATGGTATACCCTCCGCCAACGACGAAATACGATCCCCTATTCGAGAGTCCCCAACTCGAAGTGCCCTGTCAGGCCTACAGACGGTTAGAGTCGCGCACAAAACAGTTGCTCCACGAGAGTAACTCACGGCTACTCTTAAGCCCAGTATAGAGGAAGGGATCTAGAGGCGGCCTTGGTGGTTACACCCCCCCCCCCTCCAACGCCAAATACGTGAATCCCGTGACCGAACAGAATATTTCTGGCGAATTTATCGAGAGCTCTGCAAGAGTGCGTGGTGTCCTAGTAGCGCTTTCCTGGCATAAAATGGGTAATCCGGCCACTCCTTGAACTCCACTTAAAATGCGCAAAAAATGCAAAAATAAACGGAGTCAATCTGCAGAGAGTATATCCCGAAGGCCACCCATCGAAACGATCGTGCGAGAATTTCACGACACCACAATGGAAGTAAAGAAAAGTCGATAAACCTGGAGAATGGCTCAGGACGGATTGTAAATATTGCGCAAGAGCCGGCGAAGGGTGATCGTGGCGGGCCAGGGCAGCAACGGTTCGCGCGCGGTTATGAATTCATCCTCGATCGGCTCCTCTCGTTACCTTCGCTAAGGGTTTGCCGGCATCATACTTACAAACAGTGACGTAGAGGATTTGATGGAAAACGAGCTCGTGATGAAACAGTACAGCTCTCAGTGAATGTCAGATATCAAGTTTCGTCCATAATATCAGTAGCAGTAGCACTCAAGGGAGTTCTTGGGGCAGAACGAGGCGCCATAGTTTGAATGAGGGAAGGCAGGGGCTGGAAGCATTCCATGTTCGTAAACGTTTCAAGCGACTCTTTCTGCGCTTTGGTTATGTGAAAAAACGAAGTTCAAAGTCAGTGTTCTCATTTGGCCCACACACTAACTTGCGGAGCCAACCAATGCTCAAGTTGATGTTTTTCTGCCCAGTCTCGTTCACCTGTCGAGGGCATATGGCACGACAATTTACTACTCGGTCTAAAATGCTAACAGAGTGCTATGCAGTGGGGAAAATGGCGAAAAAGTGGGGAAAATGGCGAAAAAATCAAGTGAAACGGCCAAAAAGTTGCGAAGAAAAGTCTTCGGTCTGAACAAGTCTAAAAGCAACTTCAAACGAGTTCCCCGCAGGCAACATGCCAATAACCGCTACGGTAGGTACGGCTGCATATATGCACTCATATATCCATGCAGCACGAGGGCGCTTCATATCAATCCCTTCGCTTCATATTTTACTTCGCAAACGAAGCGACGAACGAAGGCGTGAGATACGCCAAATCACACGACTGGGACGAGGTTGTGCAGAGTGAAACCACGAAGATCCTCCTGATGTTACCCGACAGCTTCCGTCTCGTCAACAGCGTCTTCAGAGATCACCCGGACGTGGAACGTCGTCTCTATAGGAACCTCAGTGAGATCGGCGGATCGTTGGAAAGTTCGACTGCACGACTTTGTGTATTGGTTGGCCCGACGACGGAGTCACCAATTCCCAAGCGCGATTGGTGCAAGCTTGCTTCCTCTCTGGCCACGGCAGCCCGGATGGGAATGAAGGTTGTAGCAGTCGCCCCACCTCGTGGAGACAAGGCGTACGCTCAGAATCGAGCGGATATGAATGATGCCATCAAGCTAGCGAAGTCGGCGGCCGCCTTGGCGAAGCAGTGTCTTTGCAGCCTCATCCCCACGATCGAGTCACCGAACGAACCGTCGCATGGACCTGGAGCTCACCCAAGAAGCTCTTGTGCAGAAGCATTTTCACGGGAGGTCTTGAGGGAGTACTTCGACGTTCTCCGCGTCTACGTGAAGTCGGAGATGGATATTCCGCCACTGGAAGCAGCGGGAAAAACTCGGACGTCCCGCACGCGAGAGTACTTCAAGCAAAAGAAGGAAGCCGCGAAGCTCACAAACGCAGGAGTTTCAAAGAGAAACTCAAAACACAAGTTTTCGTCATTTAGGAGAGAACCAGTCCACGAGCTCGACAACGCTACCAGCAGTCTCTGTTCTACAGTGTCCACCATGGAACATGATGGTGCCTTCAACTTCAGCGTCATCTTCACACCATGGCAACAGATCGCACGGTCGAGGACGTGGCGCACGCCATCGCCACCACTAGGCGCCCTAACCCCCCCCCCCTACATTATCCGGAATCTCAGAAGACATATGATATCTCATGTATCTCATAGTATTATTTGGTATCTCGCATCTCATAGTATTATTTGTTTTGTATGTAGTGATTTTTTATATATATACCTCTTTTACGCAGGTCATTATTACGCTCATGGATTTGTAGTTTTGTAATCTGTTCTCAATTGGTTACAGTGTCACTTTGTTGGTTGATGTTAAACTATGAATTGTTACGAGGAGTTATGTGTCGGGCATACCCGTTTCCGTGAGTCGGTCACATATCAGAGCATGTACCATTTATCAGGTGGTTCGGTCATGTGAGCACCTTTCAAGCGGCAGGGACGCCGCTTCCCCTAGGAGGAGGCATGTTGAGGCGACGGGTTCAACCGCCGATCAATAACCGCCTCTAGTTCAGGGCATCTATGTGAGCGGGTATTTTGAAGGAGCTGTAGAGGCGATCGGCTTAAGGCCTGATCAATAATCGCCGTCCACTCCTAGCCAGTGAGCCGGCGTTTGAATATCCCTCTTTGGCGGGATCTCGGGGTATAAATACCCTCGGCAGGAGCTCTAGTCAGTTTAGTTTCGATTCCACGGACGCGACCGACAGCTCAACGCCAACGCCGACGCCAGCACCTCGCCGACTCCAACCGACACCGGATCAGCGGAGCAGTCCGCTACATCCCCCCTCCCAAACATGCCCAGGAATGGAGATACAGGGCCGTGAAACACGCTAATTCTTCCATGCTCCGCCCACTGCCTTTTTACGGCGCAGATTCCCGCCGTTCATAACATCCGTCGTAAGCGCGCCTGTCGCGTGCGGCTCCTTGGCACTTTGCCAAGTCCTTTAATTGCGCTCTCAAATACAAGTAAAACGCAATTTCCTGATGCGGATAACATTGGAGGTGCTACAAAATAAGAACAGAAGATGATGACGAGGGTCAGAACTTAAAAGCAACTGTGCCACTTCTGCAACATCCCTCGGAGGCCGCGTATGTTCCACGAAACATGAAAATAAAAACGGCATACTCGTTAGTTTGATACAAACGCAATTTCCTGATGCGAATAAAATTTTAGGTGTTGCTCATGCTTCAAAATCCATGTACAAGGAGATGAAGATGACACAGGCTAGAAATGAAGCACAACGATGTAAATGTAAACAAAACAAAAATGAAAAAATCAAGGAAAGGCAAATTAGATAAACTGGCCTGTAAATTTCTACGATCCGGCGCCAAAGCCATAGAAATACTTAGAACAAACGAGTGGGACGCTTGGGCTGTTTTTATTTTCATGTTTTGTGGGAATGCGCGGCCCTTGATGGATACTGCAGATGCAGCCGAGTTGCTCTTGAGTTCTGGCCCTTGTCATCATCTTCTGTTCTTATTTTGTAGCACCTCCAATGTTATCCGCATCAGGAAATTGCGTTTTACTTGTATTTGAGAGCGCAATTAAAGGACTTGGCAAAGTGCCAAGGAGCCGCACGCGACAGGCGCGCTTACGACGGATGTTATGAACGGCGGGAATCTGCGCCGTAAAAAGGCAGTGGGCGGAGCATGGAAGAATTAGCGTGTTTCACGGCCCTGTATCTCCATTCCTGGGCATGTTTGGGCGGGGGGACCACGACACATCGACAGCTGGGGGGCTGATAGTCTCATACACCCTCAATGTGTATGAGCGTACTATGTGTCTTTAAAGTACCTCCCTGAGCAAAGTGTCCCGGAGATTAAACATTGGATTTAAGAACACTCGACATGCAGAGGTCTGTCGAAGATCTACAGAAGTGTCGTTCGACCAGTCACTGAGAACTGACCCGCTACCAAAAAAGCCGAGGGACGTATCGGTGTGATGGGCGTGAAGATGTTGCCTAGGAAGGCAGGCATTGCGCGCTCGGGCCGAGTAGTAGCAATGTAATATGCAAGATGTTTGCTATGGCTCCTTTGACGGGCAAAATGCGAGAAATGCGCATGGAAAGCCAAACGACGTCTCAAACAGCCTAGCTCGATGCTCAGTACACGGCTGAAAACAGCTGGAATCCTGACCAGGCATTTTATCGGGACAAGTGGCGTCATCACATTGCAAGAGCACACTCTGGCACCGAGCTGATAAAACGCTGAAGATTGTGAAGAGGATGTGCAGAAGGCAACGGCGGACAATGGCTGCATTCGAAAGGAGCATTTGTTGGTCTGAACGCCGATCAATGAGAACTCTGTCCTCGCCTCTTGTATGGATGCCATAGCACACTGTGAGTTCTGAAGCTGCTGCAGTGTGCAAAGAACAGTTTAAAAGTTTGCCCTCAAAAAGAGTCTGTCGATGATATTTGTCAAGAGCAAGAACCTTGCAAGAGGGACAAATAATGTCGCAAAAAAGCGGAAATGGGATCAGCAGATCGAAATATTGTATCAGGTGCTGATGCCTTCCGCCACATTCACGCTAATGGATCCCCTCATACACTTTTTGCATTACTGAAAGGGTCTTATAAAAGCGCCGTTAGAGGGCAGAAGGCATTCTGTTCTGCTCGAGGCAATGATAATACTAATCGCGGTAACCTGCCTAGTGAGTTTCCTTTCCCAACGCTCCATCACCAGTTGCTATTGAGAAAATTATTTAGGTGCTTCAACAACAACTTGGGAAGGCTGGTGTGTACTTATGAGATCGCTGTGTATCTTCCATTTAGAATTCGATCAGAACACTTCAAAGCACTTTTCAGACAGTATCTGTTCCTTAGAAAATGGAATGACGGACGAGCTCAGGCAAATTTTCATCGATAAGCACAATCAATATCGGTTTGTTCCTGTTACAGTATGTCCCTCCAAATGACATTATAAGCTCGAGCGCCAGAAAATCTTCCAGGTCACAAGTTGCCAGAGGACTGGCTGAGAATCCAAAGTTTGGAGGATTTGCCCCGAAGGCGGCCAAAATGCTCAAAGTGGTAGGGGCATGCGAATCCGTGCGCTCTGTGACGCTTTGGGAACATGTTTGAGGCCCTGAGAGCCTACGCAACGTTTTGAAAGTTCCTAGGGTCAAGAGGGATCATATACGTAACTATGGATAATTGTAGAGCTACGACTGCGAAGTTGAGGAAAATATGATGGAATGGCTCAACCAGTGCATATGGGGACACTTCTTCCTATGATGCCAGGAAAGGTTGGGGACAAAACCTATATTCATTACGCGCGCAGAACTGGGACAAGAAAAGATCTGCATCATCGGTGGGAATATCGACCTTACGCAGAACCACACTGAGATGGCAACGAATCCATTATAGAGTGTCGACGCCTGGTTCAGCGAACTGGAGTCAAAAGGCGTACCTCCGAATAACACGCTAACCATGGACGTTTTCAACAGAGGTGTCGGTCATTACTCTCAGGTGACTCTAATATCTTGCGGGAATTCATGAAACAATGAGCGACAATATCGTCGCTTCAGCTAGTTTGGCACAACAGCGACAAAATCGGATGCGGCGTGATGTGGTGCACAGGAAGGACGATTGTCGGCTGCGAGTACAAGCCTACGTAAGTGCAGTTTCACATTGGTAATAGCTCCCCATTACAAACCAATTTTCAGAGGAAACTATATTGGAGCCCCGATTTACGAGATCGGAGAGCCATGCTCCAAGTGCAAGTGTGATGGCTGTAAATGCAATGAAGAAAATGGTCTATGCATCCTACCGTCCGCAGCTCTATAACTCACTGTGTGGTGAACTTTCGCTGCATAACAGCTTCTTCAGACCTACAATAAAATCGAGCATACAGTACTATAAATCTCTACAACAATTAAGTTGACCGGAGTAGTAACCAGACTTAGATCCCTTCCAACAATAAAGTCGCTTTGGTCTGCTATAGAATATACTAAAGGCCTACAACTAATTGACCACATTACTACAATTCAACGACCTACCCTAGCCGCACATAAAATGCAACTAAAATTACTCAGTAAAGTACGCTTGTGACAGCTAAAAGGATTTACTTATAACTTCTTATCGCAACCGCCAAGCAATAAGCCTCAGTGCCTCCTTGAGCTCGTCCCTGCTGTTTATTTCGGAGTATGAGCGCTTGATAGCAAACGCTACAAGCAACTCCTTCGTGCGGTTCAACACATTATCTTTCAATTGGGAGATGCTTCCTGTTGGCGGAACGTCGTACGATGCCGCGAGAGTCCACTGTTGGGTAAGAAGGAGGGATTTTGCAATGCTCGTAGGTGTTCGTCCATGCTTCTCTTCGAAGGCACGTTCCGCGATAAATTAAGGCTAGGTTCTCATAACCGTGCAGGATGGTTAAGCAGACAACGTCAGAGGCTATACCAATTTCAAAAGTTGAAAAACAGCAAGCAGAACGCAGTGCGCCCAGGTTTTAGGCCCATTGGCGACAGGTTCATGCCAGCCTCCAGTCACCGTGTCGTTGTGAGACTGCCATTGCGCTCCCTCACCTGTCATTTCTGGCCTCTCTCGTTTCTTATCAGTGTATGCGCCCTTCGCAATTCATAACTGATCTTATTCACCTTCCGGTGATCACGATCACTTGCATAAAAAGGGTCTCGTTCCGGGCGCTTTTTCGTGCTTCCTTCTCCTTCAATGAAGTCAACAAACACACGGCAGTTCTATTTTCGAACCGTATTACCTATGAGCTGTGGTGCCTTTAAGGTCGACTTGTCTCCCCAGTGACATCCTAATCCCCAAGATCTTCTTGCTGGGCGCGTCTTTCTCCACGTAACTTCTACCACCGTATACTCTTCTCATTTCTTACTCTCGCCTTATTTGGGAGATCTCGAGCAATGTCCGCTAAGAGGGGACTGTGTTGACAGCCCAGCTCTTCACCAGGCACACCATGACGCCCTTACTAGTTTTGAGAGATGATCTCCTTACGAGCACATGACCGGTTCCATTTGCATCTCTCCACTACTGCAGGTTATCTTCTGGGTCTGCCTTTCTGCGAAGAAACGTGCTGCAGACTGCTAGTTC